GACAAAAATGCATTTTAAAATCAGGAAATTGCCCATAACTTGGCACTGGTGGCGAATTTTCCGACAAACGGAATTTTATATAAAATTCATATAATGACCTATAATTCCTGAAATTTTCATTGAAATCCACCGAATAGTTTACGAGAAATCGCCTGCACAAAATTTTGTCTAAAAAAAAAGAATAATAATAAGAAACAATAGAATAACTATAAGGTCTTCCGTGAAGACGGAAGACCTTAATAATAATAAGAAACAGAGGCAATATGTTCCCCAACTTCATGGTTCAGGGTGAAGTATGGTTTCATCAATATTCGTTGAGCATCAATTTTAGAGGAATTTGTTGTTGAGCAAATCCACGAAATTAAATGTTCATTGAATTGAGAAATGTGTTATTCATTTTGTATGGGCAATGCATTTGTCCTCTAAATTACGTATCCTCGAAAACGTCTGTTTAACAAAATCCACGAAAATTCATGGCAACGAAAAATGATGAAACTACAGTACCCCAAAATGATGCCTATAAATTTTGCTATGTGTCTTAAAGTCAATCAAACATCATCTGTGATAATTTGTTGAGTTTTGGCAAACAGTACATTGGTTGTTGTAAGTCCTTGTCGTCAAAGACGGTACCTTTTTTCGATGCTAATTTTTGTTCATTGAAATCCACCTGCTTATGTGTCTAAAAAAGACATTGGTTGTTATAAATTTGAAGTTCTAGGGATGTCAAAATATTCATTTTCCTTAGTAGAACATTCGATTGCATTATTCGAATGATAGTCGACTATTCGGACCTTTAAAAAAAATAATAATCTCATCGATAGCGTATTATTCAAGAGTACAATTCAAGACCCTTTTTATCAAAACTAACATCAAATGCCTGTAATGCACAACGAATCTCAGAGATAAGAGATATGATAATAAAATGAATGGAGTCTCCAAAATGGTCACATTCATAGGTCTGTACAGTTACTGAGTTTCATTCTAGTAAGCTTACATAATTTTCATGCAGAACGGTGTTTTTAAAGCTTTTTATGTCCTTACAAACAATGTAAAATTACTGTTTTAAGAATTATCGAAGTTTCAAAACTTTACAGCAAAGGAGTGTTCGTAGCATTTGAACATTCCTTCAGGGAATAATGAATTTATAATTGGTACAAGTCCAATTATTAATTTTCAAAATTAAGTTTAGTTCCGTATAATTTACTACAATAATAAAACAGGTCAGTAATTGAGAAATAATGATCGCGGTATGTAATTACTAACTGTACTTCCCATAAGTACAATTGCTTTGGAGGCAGGTTACCTTTTATAGGACAGAGAATGAATACTATAATGGTTTGAGAAATGATGCTTTTTTCATTTTTGAAATGAATTTTTTTTTTATCACTTCCTTTTATTGCATTTATTTAATAAATGTCGGACATCAGTGATAGTCGAATAGTTGACTATTCGTTGACATCCCTCTAAATTTCACATTATTTCAATGAATATTTCTTTGGGATTCTAAGCGAGTTTTACAGCAGCTTTAATGAAGCATTTAATTTCACTCTAGTTAACTGATTCTTTACCATTCATTTTAATGCAGTGTCTCGAATAGCCCTTGTTTTCCAGCTTCTCTCAATTAAACTATGTGATGAAAAGTGGTCACATAAACAGTAATCAATCCACTAAAATTAAATCATGAGAGAAATTTAAGGTTAATGTCATATGATTACTATGTGGTATATCACAGAGCTCAAGACATTATTTATTGAACAGCCCTCGCATGTGGCTGATCCTCTCATGAAATTGTAACTTCTACCTGTAGTCGAAGTCATGGAAAGGAAAGTTTGTGAGTTACAGAGTATCTGAGGAGATGGCTAGGAGTTTCACCATCATTTACATCGATTGCACTCTACAGCAACTCCACTCAGTTACGCATACCAGTTTCCTCTGTGGTGGAAGAATTCAAGGTAGCAAAATGTCGCTTGGTAATGACGTCACGGGACTCAGTAGACGACAGGATCGTAAGAGCAGGGATCCAGACAAGGACAGGAAAGAAAGTGGTCAACAAAAACAGCAGCGGAACAATCAGAGAGTATCGTATACTTACGTGGCCAAAGACCTTACTTACGTGACGTCATTGGAAACACAAGCCCTGGGCGATAGGGCATGGGAATGTCACATTTCAAGCAGTGGTAAAAAGCATCTGCAGCGCAGAGGCGCGCCATGGTTCAAAATGAAGTACGGTGCACTGAGGAAGATCAACGGAAAGCAAGATCAACAGAACTTGTAAAACTGGTAGCCTGGTGGAGTGGGATTTACCGGAGCGGGAATTAACCTGGGCAGAACTGTGGAGGCTGCAGATCAGGGTCTTCCAACAGTGGTGTCAAAACAAACCCCAATCTGCAAGATATGTGTTAACAGGGCGACCATGGTGCATAGTCTATTAGGATGTCCAGTAACGCTGATTCAGTGTAGATATAGATGGCGACAAAACAATGTCCTGCAGGAGTTGACTGATTTGCTGGAACTAGAGAGAAGACGGAGACGACCATCAGACAAGAAACAGAGACAGATACAGTCTGTGAGACAGGGTGAAGCAACGGCTGGCGCAAGAGCAGCAAGCCTGACATTAGTGTTGGATAGAGGGCATGACTTGGAGCTTAGATACGATCTAGACAGAAAGTTAGTTTTCCGTTACATCGTGAAAACCAACCTACGACCAAACGCAGATTTAGTGTCCCAATAGTCGAAGATGTTGGTTGCAGTAGAGCTGACCGTGCCATGGAAAAAAATTTGTGAGGAGTCACATGAGAGGAAGACCTCTTAGCAGACTGCAGGAATGGAGGATCCGATGTATCGTTTGGCTGCTTTCGATAGAGGTCGGCTGCAGAGGGTTCCTAGCGCAATCGGTGTGGAAACTGCTCGTATGATAAGGGTGTATCAGGAAGAGCATGGAAGACAGCAATGAGACATCGAGAGGTCAGCTAAAGCGGAGAGATGGAGATCATCAGATGACCATCACTGGTGACCCACCAACTGGATGATGTCATGGTTTAGGGTCGAAACATCCGGTAAAGGTTGGAGACCATCTGATGACGATAGGTGACAGAAAGTGATAGGCATGCATAAGAGTGCCAAGCTGACAGACAGCAAAAAATTATCTTCTGTAATTGCATACTATCACGTTGCTTGAGATGTAAAAACACATTTCTCAATTTGGATTTGTTTGTGTAAGTAAAGTGGAGTACCGCAGATGAGGTTTGTAGCCTATGTAGGACATTTTATTTTTTTACAACGAATCAATATCTAACCGCATTTATCTGTCGCTCTACCTTGAAGTACTTAAAGAAAAATGAGTTAAATTGTACCGAATATATTTCACATTAATTAATCGATTAGGCTCAGCTGGGAATGAACAATCATGGTATTAAACTGTGGTTACGACTGCTGAAAAGCAAAATCTATACTACATCAGGATGCTTTCAACTTTCATTGTTTCTAGTTAAGTGGTTCTCGTGCAAAATTTTAAAATGATTTTTAATATATTTTTCAATAAAAAAAAGAATAATCTCCTATTGTAATACAACACCTCTGGGGGCCATGAGTTGAAAAATTTCAAAAAATTAAAAAGTCATACTACCTCAGGATGCTCCACGTTTCATAAGTTCTATGGTCGATACAATGACCTTGTCAAAGAATACATTTCAATTTATCATTAAGTCAAATACTGACCGGCCTTTATGTATACTGTTTGTTACATTTACACACAATGTTGTCTACAGATTTTTCTATTATTTGCGAACATGACCAGGAGTACACAGCGGGTGTGACCGGTCGGCAGAGGATGCTCACTCCTCCATGGCTCCTGATCTCACCTCTAATGTTTTCTTTTAGAGATCCGTGTTTGCTCCCCTCTTATTTTGTGATGTTTATTTATTGGACGGTTGAGCTCGAATACTCTACGTTATCTCCTCATAATGCATTCAACATAAATTCATCTATTCTAGCCAAATCTTTTTGAGAAGATTTTTAATACCCCTCCCTATTTTTGCCTTTTTCGATTTTATCTCCCTTTGGATGTGTTGACCATTCATCTGAACATTGATAAAAAAAAATATTTAATATACAACACGTATTTGTTGAATCTTCTTTCCGAGAAGAAGTTTTCTGAGAACAAAGAGTTGGATTTTCGACGGGCACTCAATGTGCCTCTTTATCATCGACCTTTTTTTATATTCCAATGAAGCAGAATTTTTTTTCAGAAACGTCTACATGAAAGCAAGAAAACTTTTACCGTGGCATAAAACTCAACATTCAGTTTTATAGACGACGTTTTATCAGTTTTCAATAGTTATTCTCATTCATATGTCGACTCGACCCAATGACTTTAAATAAAAGACAACATAGGCTTCTTTGTTTCATATTTGGACGTTTTTCTGAATATAGCAGACAAAGGCAAACTAACAACAAAACTGTACGACATATGAGATGACCAGCTTTTCCGTCATCCATTTTCCTTATTCATGTAGCAATATTCCTCTATCACAATAATGTATATGGTGGTTATGCCTCCCAACTTATTATCTCCTTAAAATCTTGCTGAGAATGATCAAATTTCAAGCTAAGGCAGGCTACTGAAGCATACGTTGATTATACAGGGGTTTCGATAGCCTTTAAAGTCAGCTTTTCGTAAATTATATGGTCGTTAAAATGACCCTGTTAGCAAATGTAACCTATTACTCGGCAGTACATGTATATGTATTTTGGCAGTAATTTTTCTTACTAATTGTTAACTAAAGGCTTTCTTTGTAATGTAAATCTAAATATGGACCGTTGCGTCTATTTGAGATTGGTTACTAATGGTGAGATAATAAAGGTCTCCATTGTTTCATTCCTCTTCTTAATAAGGGATATAAAACAACTGATTATAATCTAAACAAAACGGAGGTTTGCTATCTTGCTTTGACAATTTCCCTCTCATTCGTAACAATATATTGATAAGAGAAACACTGATATTTTGAAACAACAATTTTAATTTTTTGAACTCAAATAAATAAGAATTTGTTTTATAAGATACAAATTTGTAGTCAACAACAAAAAATGAGATAGCTCAACAATTAAAGATGAACAGTTACACACAAACACACAAACGTACATTCATCTACACCATTCGTCCTTTTACCATTTTGAATCATTAGATAAAATAAATAATTTAAAATAAAATATTTCTAAAATGTAAATAATAACAAAAATACTTATTGTGTTAAAAATGCAAACGTGTGATTAAAATATTGTTAAAAGAGAACATCGAGAAAAAAGGATCATCTTATGCAGACGAAAACCAAAAAACGTTTACAAAATTTCAAAAATTTTCTTTTTTTTCAAGCAGGGCATGCGCAGCCCTCTCACATCCGTCATAACAATCTGATATTTGTAACATTCAGACACATTTATTCTATGATAGATGAGGGAAAATACATGTGAAAGACACATTTGTCAAAAATGCATAAAGATGGCACATAGTGCTCAATCTGACTCGCCCTGACGTTCTTTTGTTCATACATAACCTCATTTTTAGAGTCCATCCGTATTTCACCTCAGAAATGCTAAAACGAAATGTGGCGCTATCGCAAAATACAAATTTTATATTCCTACACTTAAATTATATTGTAGTATTTAAATCAAATTCAAATTTTTAGCCCCAGAGGGAATACTTTACACTTCAGTAACAACGTGTTCCCAGGTAGTAATGAATTCTAAAATGAGTAAACAGTAACATACATACATGTATTACTGTTTTACTTTTCATGATAAATTTTAATGCGGATGGACTTTGATGACATGCCATTATATGGCTTGACTTTGGACCAAACAATAATAATTAGAGCACTCATAATCAACACACATAATAATTTCAGTCTTGCTGTTCGAGGGACTATTTTTATAGTCGCCATTAATTATGGTGTCACAAAATATAGAAGGCACAATAGCTGTGTTCGTAACACCCTTCAAAGAAAGACAGAAGGAAGGAGGCATCTCAAAATGACTCACAAAATAAACTGTTAAACCACAGTCGCAAAATCTCTGTGAGATGGTTTACCCCATATTATGATCGGCGTCGGCGCACGATGAACTTCCGGTTTCGTATTCACTTTTTCATAGAGTTTTCCATCCTTTTTCATTCGAGAATTATTTATTAAAGGGTCTTTGCATAGTGGATTATGCATTCCGCCAAACAAAGGCGAAGTCCGCCCTACTTTTTCACTAAAGCGATCCGTGACATACAGATGTGATTTTGTTAAACTGGTTCTCTCCCTTCGAAATTCTATAAATTGTCTTTGGCGTCGTGTGTCTGCTCTGAGCATGCGCACAGCCAGCAATACTAGCAATATTAAAATGAATCCTCCTGCTATAGGCACGGCTATGACCGCCGCTTTGAACCACAGGTCCTTGTCTTGATTGGGGGGTTTAGTATCTTCAGGAATGGAATGTGGGAAATTGTACTCTGGTAGTCCAGGGCTTACTGGCTCTACAAAAATAAATTAATAAATTACTTGATTACTCTACTGTAGAGTCTACAAGAAATAAAAGAATAACACTACAAATAAGTAGCAACATATATTCTTCATATAGTCGATTTTCAAAGCAATAGAAAGAATATAAACATGCGATTAAAAGATAGCCCTACAAATGCATTTATATTAAAATATTTGATTAATTTTGTGTTTGAGTAATTAAAATGATTCACATTCTGTTCCTCATAATTATGTTGGTTAAGAAGTGCATCAATATAAATCGTTGCAAACATATATTATTACATGCACAGCGTTTTATTTTTTATTAGACTTTAAGAAAGCTCGTTTTAGCTTTGACTATTTTATTACGAAAATCTATATATGAACTATGACGCACATATATTAAAGTTTTACAAGAATCATAGACTCTCCTTTTCCTATTGATTAAAGATTCTCTAAATAATGAATTTACTTGATGACATTCTGCTAAAAACGCTAGATATCTTAAGTGTTTCCAAGTTATAATGAATATCATGTCCATTTCTAGCTTTTATGTTGTCCATCGGGACATCCGGTCGCCGCGTAGTCTCGCCGCTACTGGCATCACATCACTTCTCGCGAGACAGAGGTCTTCTTCAAAGGGCAGCAGGGTACAGATTTCTACCGCGTCCTCGTAAAATCTTCGGCCAATTCGCCTGATACATTTCAATTAGATACTATCTTAATGCACTGAACTCTCGGAGTTTCCCTGGAAAGGTTCATTAAAATTCCTAATTTGTATTTGTTTCATAGCGGAATGACCATTGTTTCGTAAATGCATATTACAACAAAACTTTTGATTTGAGTTTAAAGGCATATGTGTTATGTTAAAAAAGTCGCCATTTTTCTTTTAAAGGTAGGCGTCTAAATATTAAATAGAGTTAGCATTTTATAATTACATAAGAATTATCAGTCTGCATAGTTATATAATGCCACAATAGTCTCTAGAGGTAAGGGGAGTCATACCAACATTCTGTAATCAACTGCTGCGGGCTTGCGGCGATAATCGGCGAGATTTTGGCGGGAACTCATAGCGCGGACGCCTCTCTATATCAACTTCCATGTCAGATAAAAATGCAGGAAAAATTGGAGTTTATTCTCCTGAGATTTTGAAACATATAAATTTTGTTACGAGTTTACTTTTATCGTAGGGAAAAGCATCTGAAACTTCTGTACCGAGTCCCCTTGTTTAACGTTTATGCCGCAGTAGAATTCAATAAATATTCCTAATGACTCTTTTCTATATTTTATTTCTTTATCTGCATCCGTGATGGTGTAGGGTTTATGGTTTTGTACGATTCTGCGATCTCCCATCTTGTTATTTTTCCCCCAATCTTGTCTATTTTCCCATTAAAAATATGCGTAAAATTAAAATGTCGCGCGTAATATTTACCCCCGAGAGATTTCATTTGCATTCGGTTCATTTTTAAGTAACATTTAATAATATTTTTGTGCTAATCTTTTTATCAGAGAAACAAGCGTCTCCAGCAGCCATTTTAATCTGACAATTCGTCACACTCCTTTGAATTTTTATGCGAATAACTCGATAAAAACTTATAGAATTATGTACTCAGATTAATTTATGTGTTGTCGAGCGTATAGTGGAAATTTAGTCAATTAGATTTATTTGCATCTAATCCAGATAATGCCTTACATGTTTTTGAATAATATTATATATTTTCCTAGTTTATGCTCTAAATACACAATATTTTTTGTCCCAGATTTTAAAAAATCCCATTGTATTGGTGAAACCAAGGTTACAATTTAAAATAAATATGGCTTAAAAATTTGCCTTGCTAGCTATTAAAATATATTTTAAAGGAATTAATTGAAGCATTCTGGTTTTGGATGAAAAAAGTGGAAAAACTAGATATACATGTATCCATATTGGTTTTAATCGCAGAAAAGGAACAGATCTCTTAATTAAACACTTACAAGATGGATATTTTGCGCAAGGTTCTAGGATGCACATGAATTTAGGAGAAGTTTAATATTCTAAAATGATTACATGATATTAAGATATTAAATACAATGTACCCCATAGAGGTCTACGTATATCTCCGTCGAGAACAAAATTAGGGATAGAAATACGTGATCAGCTTATTTCAAATGTTCAGTTCCTCGTATACTTTATAAAGAAAACCGCGAATCATACGCTGGTGTATAAAATAAAATTTATTCAAATTGATTAAAAGACCGTAATTAACGCGATCAGGCTAAAACCTTATCCGCGACGACCTGGCGTTTTCCGGACAGGCATTTGAATAAAAGCTTGGCAGTATTTATAAAAGTGATAAAAGCGGTCGGAGACAGGTGTTCTAAGGATTAGAACCACTCTGGCATGCATTCGGAATTCTCTAAACTTTAAAAAAGGGGGCGGAGATGTTTATTCATAGCCGATGGATAAACTGATTTAAATATGCTTTATCCACAGATACACGTGTACGTTTTAAAATCTGGGTAAAAATGACAGGGCTTTAGTTTTCAAGGAGTCTAGAAGACGGATTTAAAGACAAATGACAATGCGGCGTTTGTTTTAACTTATTGAGATTCTACGGTTTGTCAGTCATTGACAAGACAAGACGTCGAAGCTTATAAATCAATCTAAAAATCAGACCGGAGACGGAAATTTTAAAACTTCAGATTTGGCATAAACTTTTTCCTGGCAGCTTGTCTGTTTAAATTATCAAAAATACAATCCTTTTTAATATTATTTTTATGAATGAAAAATACTATAATTACAGAACTTTTATTAATTGTTTCATTATATTATTACAGACTGCTCTTTATTAAAAATACTTTTACGTGTTTTAATTTAGAAGAAAGTGTATTGTGTTAAAACATTTTGATTTTAATTAGTTTTAATTTTAATTGAGAAATGTATAATAAATAAATAAATGAATATTAAATAAATAAATATAAATAGATAGTAAATAAAAAAACCCAAAAAAATTCAAATTTACAATCATTCTAAACAGCTTTAATTTCACAAGTTAAACGTTTTAATTAAACGGGTATAAATTATATAGTTCTTATTTCACCCTCCACTCTAAGTTTGAAAATCTGTGATCCACGCCTGTACCCTTGATATCAATAACAGGTGCCTGTAAACCTGGGACATTAAGAAATGCTGTCAGGCCACGACCTCGGTACTCAGCATAGCTGGGTATCCGGGGACGTCCTGACTAACATGTTTGTTCTGCTAGCGACTGATAGCGTTTGAATGAAAAGAACAAACACAAAACACTTTCCTAATGGAGGCCCGTCGACAGTGATGATTGATAAGGCCCTAAGATAACTACCACCGAACATATTTTTATTCTATTTAAGAACAATATGTATTCATAATGCCAGGGATATTTTTTCTACCTTTTCTTTTAGTATCTTGAGGAATGTAGACCTGGGGAGATTACGAAGGGTCGCTGAGGTGATTTGGAACACATTCATTCCCAAATTCAGGAAAAAAGTCGCAATGTTTCCTTACTCTTTTTTACGAACTGCTAAAAAGAAGAAGGGTCTGCTGTTTTAATGGATAAAACTAGCTTTAGAATGGCATACTGTTTTGGATAAAACTACCTTTAAAATGGCATAATTTTTTGTCTTTAGTGCCATAAAAAAGGATATGTCCTATTAACATGGCGATTTTGTCCTAACAAGACATGACGTTTTTGAAGATACCGTAACGGGAACAACCATAACGTGATTTGCTTACAAATGTACATGACGAGAGTTCTAACGAGAGTTAACGAGAATTCCTGTCATCCATCACTCGTGGCATTTGTTGCGTTTTTCTTTTGACCGCGGGGCCTTTAATATCAAAGAAAAAGAGCGACAGTTAAGTTAGGAATACACATAATACTATGAATGGACGTACAAGACTGCAGATAATACTTCTGATTTGATATATCTAATATTGTCTTATTTTCTTGTTAGGCCGTTATTTTAAGGAAAAATTCGAATTTTATTTCCTGAAAATAGAAAAAGTAGAACACGTATCGTACATTAAACATGGTAATTACATGATTTTCTTTAGTTGTGGGTAATTTAGAACTGAGCACATCAAAGTCAGAGCAATTTTATGACAGTTGTAAATGTCAATAAAATATCTTTTACAAACGCCCGAACAAGGGAAAAAAAATATAAATGAGGTTAATTACAAGTAAATTAACTTCTAGAAACTTTGAAATGTGTGCATGTTTCCTTTTTTTTTTAAATATGCTTACGTAAAGTTACTTTGATATGTTAATCGAGAATGATTTTTGACATAGCCTTGCCATGGTATACCAACTTTTTTGTCAAATAAAAAAATGTGTAGTTTACATGTAATATTATATATATTTATTTACTTGTACTTCTTGAAAAAAGGGCTAAGAAAACAGTTTTTTCCTTTCGTAGAAAAATAAATCCAGGAAAGGACAGACAAACCGTAAATTATTGACCCCCTATCGTATATAAGTACGAATAACTGTTGGTTTATGTTATCAAAATAAAAGATTTAAGGATTTCACACGACTCCAGACAAGATTTACCTCCCCTTCTTATTTACTCGCGAAAAGCCTAGATCCTCACCCGGTTTGACCAATGCTCTATTAGCAGGGACGTTATAAAAAGTTAGATCCTCATCTGGTTAGACCAATGTTCTATTACAAGGAACGTTATAAAATTCTTAGATCCACACCTGCTTAGACCGATGTTCTATTAGTGTGAATGTAATAAAAATTTAGATCCTCACCTGGTTTGACCAATGTTCTATTAGTAGGAACGTTCATCACTATATTGTAATTGCACAAATCCTTGCTACAGCAATGTACCACTGGTTCACGGTGGTACTTTACGAAGTTCTCATACGTTTGTGTTTCACTTTTAGTGTCACAGATATTTTTATACTTCTCGTTCTTCACTAATGCGTCCATGCAGCCCTGCGTGTATCGGGGAGTACTTCCATCGAAGGTTTTCATGACGTAACACATTTTGATGTTTGATGACTTACAAATCTGTGTTCCTAAACTGACGCACTCGGGTTCGTTACATCTGCACCGTATCTCGGCTGCAAGAAAAACAAAATGAAAATTAAATTTAAAAAAAATCAATTTGTTTTTATTTGTAAATCATAAATAGAAGTTAAGAGTTTTTTTTTTTAAATATTGGTGTGTTCGGGAGGATTACTTTGACTATACATGCTCAGGCTATTTATTGAGCAGACAGTGAGGGATTTTCTTAGTTATAAATGTTCCAGACCAAATTCTGAATCTTTATACTTAAGCTAATTATTTTAAGGGAGAAGAACATTTTTACGTATCCTTTCTTTTACTAAATCTAATTTGTTCTCGGAATGGAAAAACGCAGGGAACAAGAAACAAAGCAATTAAGCTTACAGCGCCGTCTGGTGTAAGTATTCAAAATTTTTAACAATAGGGGGCGCGACTGGTTGTCGCGGAACTTCTAAACTAGCTATACATGTAAGCATTCACCTTACACTGTCTTGGAATCTTGTTGCCTCTTTTATTTTTGTACTGTTTAGTGCACAGATGCATCCACCTTGATACAAAAGTCTAGTTTTTCTTTTCCAATATGCACAAACAATATACTTGTATAAGCTGCACTATTTATTTAAACTTCTCTTTGAATCCATGGAAAAAGTCTCATAAACTTTTCTCTCTGTTTTTCTGGTTTTTAGTTCTTCCGCCAGCCTGACGCTCACAATACTTAAAGAAACTTTGTTAAGCCAAATGGAATGTGATGTGCTAATTGGATGACAACATGCGCATGGGTCAGAAAGGGTTGAAATTCAAGAAATCTTTATTAGTTTTGAGAATAGTGTCGAGGAGCATTAAGGCTGATGACGACCAGATATGGCACCCAATGCGCCACTATCATCTCCTGTTCTTTGGAATTTTTATGGCGGCTTGATCGTGCTCCGTTTCTCCTGATAAGAATTTTAACCAACTTGTCGGCTACTGGTACCCATACTATTTTTAATACTAATGGACAGGTTGATCAACTGAGTCAGTTATTAGAAAGGAAATGAACTTAGAGTCAGTGATCTGGCTAAGAAACAAAACAAATATGTTTCCTATTGACATGCAATATTAAAATCAGAAAAGATATATATCTGTGGCGTTTTTGAAAGACAAACATCATTTGTATTCTAAATATAATCATATACTGGTAAACAAAAAAGACAGAGGATTCATAATTTATTTATTGCTTTATCCGGACCAGAGTGTTCAAAGCCCTTTATTGCAATCTATCGTGGCGCAGAGCAGGATTCGTTTCATCCTCTTTTTTCTCGATCTACTTCAGATTGACACGCAGTCTGTGGAGTATAGAACTATTTTTTTTCGATTGATTGAAATCTTGAAGTAGATTAACGCTAATCTCGCGCTCGGTGAGATTTGATGGTTTTGGCGGGGGTACCTAGCATTGCAGACGCCAGGAACTATGTATAGCGAACCCGAGGTTATATTGTCAGACAGTGTGGCATGATAGCGTTTATCGTGATCAATGCTTACAATACAGAAATATGAAAGATGAGAAGAATGCAATAACAAAAGTTATTAAAGAGAGATTATTTACGACCTTCCAGAGAAAATCCTGTTTCCGGCATTTATGAAGTGTAAAAATTTTGTCAATAATATGCTATTTTTTGATGTGTTTTTTTCTTATTTCTTCGATGCGTGTGCACAAAGCTTTTATCAGATCACTAGGTAGACAAAGTTCGCAGCATTGATTTTTTGAAAAAAGAATCTGGTACCAAATCATTCTAAAATCGCCGGAACTCTTCAGTTTTAGAGGAGCGAATTGAGACCTCATTACACGGCAATTAAACGATAAGTGCTGAATAATTGAATTACACTTCAACTCCGCATGTAGCAGTGCGTAAACTTGTTAGAATACTGCAGCAAAAAATGGGCGAAAGCCAGCATATACAACAATCTTTCAAATTTTTTATGCCTCTTTATCTTTTGTGGCACAAAACAGTAAGAAAATCGTTTTCTTGATATCTGTAAGTTACGTGCATACCATTTTACAACGGAAAGAATAGATCTGATGGACAATCATTGCCTCCCAGAATTAATTCTTATGTGTCATTTTGGAAATAAGCCTACACACTTAAGGTGAAACACTATCCAATTTTAATTTTATTTATGATCACATCAAATTCGATTTTAGTCGCTTCGTCAGACTCGCGTAGCAATCACACGGTCTCTTTTATTCATCAGACAGAGATTCTCCGCTTAGATGCTTTCATTTCTGCTCTACACAGCGATATCGCCTGATCGTCGGGTTTTTCACTTGCTGTCGTCAACTTTACGATAACTATCAAAATATTTACAAGCAGATTTGAAAGCATGTTGCCTTGCATCTACTTAAGCCTTGTTGCGAGCGGACGAGTCGGTCTGTCGACGTGTAACATGTATTCGGTATAGGACACAGAAACGGGCTTCTCTTTTAAATTAGCTTTCATCGCATGGGAATGTAACTTGATTATTTTTCACATAAAAGCCTTTTTTCAAAGGCCTCCCTAAAAATTCTTTTTGGTTCGCTATTTAGTTTAATTATGAAAGGATAAAAGAAAAACAAGAAAGATTCTTCAGTAAGAAAAAATCCTGGACATAATTTTGTGGTTACTGTTGTATTCTAATTAAGTTTTTATATAGTTGAACTCTTAATTAAGTTTTTGTAAAGTTCAAATATTGTTCACAGCAATATCTGTACGACTGCTGGTCGTTAAAGTATGCATGTAATGTATGTGTTTGCAGGAGATAAAACAGAAAACAAATTGATAAGCCAGATAAAAGTCTTTATTCCCTAATTTCTATTCATTATGGTCGTCTAGGTTTTTTTAAAAGGCATATTTTGCTTGCTGTTTGCTAACTGATCGAGGTTTCCCCTTTTTATCGTTGTTTGTTGCGAGGCAATTAGAGATTACATACAAAATACCTAACACTGACATCATTCTGATTGAAACCATTTTACTGTGGGTAATTTCCTTTATATGCCAAAATCAACGGACATTCCTTGAAATTTGCCGGAGACTGTCAAACGAATCTGTTCCCTAGTTTTAAACACAAACAGACTAAATGAATGTTCCTTTTGCTTTTAAATATAATTTTGCCTTTAGTGATGCATATATCTACTTATGAATCGCAGAAATGGGACAAATAAAAACACTTAGCCGCGGGCGACACTCTAATTACCGGCAAGTTGGCCGTCATGGTGTCTAAATAAAAGTACCAACAACGGATGATATAATCCGTAATTGCTAAATCAATTTCTGTCTGCCAGATTAACATTGTATTCCGTCAATACGGTACTTTGTGTCTCACATTATAATAACACGTGCTCTATGGCGACATCCAAAGAGGTAAAACGACAAGAACAAAAAATACAAATGAGGAAAAACAGAACAGAAAGCAATACAAGGATTTATCAAATAAAGATCACTGGTGATTTTTGCCGACTTTTCCTTCGCCAAATTAAAATATGTTATTAAGTACTTAAGAGAGAGCTCTTAACTCGCTTGTCGTTATGATTAAGGCATCCCGCGCCATGTTGACGCCGTAATTCGTGATCATACACTATATTATCGATACATTTTAATGTAGATGTAATGCTTTTGAACATCTTGTCTAGACTCATGCTTTGGAAGGAAACATTTCATACGTTACTGCTCCGCTAAGACGATTGGAACTCGGGTTATCAGTGGATTATCTGTTAATGGAGACGAATGACATTGTTTATCTTTTAAAAACATCATCAGTGAAATGGAAATAAGATCCGAAAGTTTGCCTCTCCGGTAGTTCAATGTGCATCGGGCAGCCTCGGTGTTTTTCTTTGTTTTTGTGATGTTTGCTAATCCGAGCTTTCTTTATTTCTTTGATCTACTCCTCAGTCGATTTTCTCGGTATTTCACAAGTCCTTTAGCTAGCTAGCATTTGAGTCGAATACTACACTATGTGCGTGACAAATCTTGATATTTTGTCGATGTATAGTTGATATCAAAATATTATAAATATTTCTTGAGGTTAACATTTTTTGTAGCTAATTCTTTCCGTGTATATGTACATCTGGTATTCCATAATTATACCTGCTAAGTTTTCTTTTCCTTCCAAATCTTTCTGAACATTTTTCTCCTTCAGATGTCAACTTCAATTACAACCATTCACGTTTATTCTATAATTAATAATCTAAAATACGTTGTATTTCTATAGTGGACTTCGGATTGGACATCTCCCTATAATTAACATTGAGTGATTAGAATGCTCTCTTTGACCGCATCAAAACTCTACTATGAGCAGGCGGTGACCATTGAGACACATCGCTACCTAAGGCGACCTGGCTTTTTGATAAAATCTGACGAAAAAAAAAATCGCCAATAATTTCAGGCCTGTGGCAGTTGACGTGAAATGAACAGCAGAGGGTGGGCCTAAAAAGCTACCTGAAAAGTGTTTTTATCGACCTGACTAGCCATAGATTTACAAAGCCTCTGCGTGATAGGGATTCAGTCAAGAAGCTGATCCGACTAATTCACGCCATGACTCAATATCAAGGTTTTATCAACAAAAACAGTTTTTAAGTCAATCGTAAAAGTGATCACAAAGGTGTTACTATATCAACATAACTGAATATGCCAAAACAGCGTGATTTCATTAATCGTCATTTTGAAGACAAAAGGTCATATGTTTTAAAAGTACACATAAACAATAACATTTCCTTGCGTTGACATTTGATCCTGCGCAGTGCCACATACTTTAATCTTCTATAACTGGAAGCATTTGTCAATATACTATAATGTCATCATAGCTTTTTTGTTCCGCCGGTTGTCTATTCGGCACCGCCTTTCAGCTTCCGGAATCGACTGGATTTAGAGCCTTAGAATATTTTTGGGTACCCGGAGATGCAATCTCGTTCTGAAATCTCGTTACCACGGTCACGCATACGTTTAACGAGATGTTCAGCTTGATCAAAAAATCATTTCAAGTTCTTTGAAGTTTAATTTTAGGAGTTGTGCTTTTTTCTTCTTTTTCAGAAAAAAATGTGCAT